CTCGCATACACGAGTATGCATATATACGTTCATCATCCCCATTACTCTTGCTGTTGATGGACTGCGCCAAATATGGCTCGTTTTTGCGGAGTTTATTGAATAAGGCACTTTAAAATTTTTCATAAAATATGTATGAAATTAAGGGGAGCCGTATTTCCAGTTATGATAAAAACGTGTTTATTTTACACTTTTAATAAAAAGCACTTTATAAAAATGAAATTTCCACCCAGTATGATTCAGTACACATGCATAATGATTTGTCAAGCGACAGATATTCTTTTTTGCACGCCTCCGAAATCTTTTTCGGCTATTTGTAACTCAATCAAAATTAATCGATACTTGGACTTTGTGTAACGAGAAGTGACGCAATGCATTGATCAGTAGCCCGTTGGAAAGCGTGGGATCGGGATAACCTTGACCGGCCCTTTGAAAGGAAATCGATCTTTCTCGAAAGCGTTTCGAGAACGCAATCTCGTCGTGTAGACGTCGCGACTGTATGTCGATGCGACATGAAAACCGGAGAGGCGAGTACTAAAAGCAGCGCAATTAACGAGAGCGGATTTTAACGAATCACCGTGGCGTGCCGTACATATTTCACGCTGAAATCCAGCAGGATAATTTTAATTAAAATATGGTCGCGCTTGGCTTTTGCCAATCAGTAACTTAGTAGAAAGATGAATCAGACACGACACGAAATAATGAAATCATTGATTTTCTCCATTTGGCAAAATGAAAAAGTAGAACGTAATACATATATTTGAAGGGAAATATTGTAATATTTTCCATGCAAATTAATAATATTATAAATACAGCTAAATTTCGCGTCATGTAATTCAAATTTGATATCACCGCGCAGACTAAATTAACATTATATTAATGACGTCCATAATATTATTGATGTTCCAATTATCCGCGGACGGAATTTCGCATGGCGCTTTTAAACTGCAGAAGCTTGAGAATGGCGAGCATTTATCTCGCTTGCCCATCGAGACACCCTTTTAAAGTTTCCGCGGAATATCTTAATGAAGTGGTATTAAATTCTAAATGATAGAACCATTAATCACGCCGCCCCTTCATACTTTATTGGCTCCTCATATCTTTCCATTCTATCACACACGAGACGAAATATGCCATGGACTCGGACCGTTGCATAATTTACCGCGGAACGCATTCAGGAAACATGCCCGGCCGATCTCGTGCCAAAGAAAAAAATTGTTCCCGGTAAGTCGACAGCTAGCTGTCGAAGATAAACCGAGTGAATAAATCTTGCCGACCGAACAACGCAACGTAACGCACTGGCGCAGCCATAGCCGTTGAAGCCATAGCGTTTAAACGACACGGTCGCGGCATTTTTCCGCGGGTAATTTATTTCATTAAAAAGTTCAGCGTGATAACTTAAAGTTTCAACGTTTCGGCATCCTTCTCGGCGGCCGCCTCTCTTTGTTTCACGCGGTGGCTTTTGCCGGCTCGTTAACGACTCGGTTAACCCGCGCGCGTTTCGCCTCTCTACGCGTCTCGCTCTCTCTCTCTCTCTCTCCCTGTCTCTGTCTATCCTCTTTTCAGACCGATGCATAATTCAAGCGAGCTCTACGGTCGCCCGTAAGGCAAAACGCGTATACCAATCGATCCCTCGACCGTGTCCGTACGCTCGTACGCCAGCCTCTAACGCTCAGCGGTACCCATTAATGGTGATTTGTCGACCGAACGGTGCGAGTCACGCTGCCCGATACTTTTGCGCGCTTCCACCGTTCCGCGAGGAAATCGCCGCGCGCGGTGCGAAGCTGGAATTCCGCCGTAACGTAACTGTGACTTTCCGATATGATCTTTCCCACGTCCGGTCTGCTGCCGAGCGCCGGATGAAAATAGGCGCCGGGATATCGTGTCAAATATTTCTCAATAAACTCTGTTTTTTTTTTTGCGTGGATATTAATATACTGCATCTCAACGGATGCTAACAATTAGGAAATTTAATTTCAATTATAATCTGAAACTCCGGGAATAAATGAGAATAATTTAATTATACAATGTTTATACTATAATTGTCTACAAATACCAGGATATTAAGTGCACCGAGATTTGCAAGACTCGCTAATATCCAATATCGGATAATCGATAAAGATATATCGAATAATTTAATTATAGAACTATATCACTGCGACGATTATCTCCTCTTTTCTTGGATCTTCAACTCGCCCGTCGAACCATTGCATTTTTATCCTCGACACAGCGAAAAAATTCCAATCTTATCCCAGGCCTAATGCTCTCGATAAATTTTTTTTTTACAGTGCATATACTCGACACTCTCGAGGGTCCTCCGAGCGAGGTACGTCCTGGGCGGATCTGATGTCCCCTAGTCCACGGTCTGAACAGGTTCAGGAGAGAGGTAACAAGGGATTCGAGGACGAGGCACGATGAGGAAGAGCACAAGGACCGGGGGAAGGCAGAAGGGGTAAGGGAGGGGACTGACTTTGTTGTTCGCAGGTTTACACGGCCAATCTCGCTTTGATGTCCCTCCCCCCTCGATTCCCGGATCCCCTTCGACCTTCCGAGCAGCCACGCAACCCCCTTACGACGAGCGATACGTACTGTGCGCTATATGTGTCATGTACAGATACGTGTATGATGCGCGCATACATTCCTATACGCCCGTCCGTATACGCAGATTATGCGTGCGAGAGATTGTGCGTGTTCCATTCTGTAATTTCAAGTCTAAGGGCGCATAATTATGGTTGGTGGTCTCCCTATCTGGAGATTAATATTATTTATAGGATAATAAATACGCGAAAGACAATCAGGATTCTGTATATCAAGAACAGTGCAAAGAAAAAAAAATCAATTATGTTTGTTTTTAATTTCGAATAAATTAGTCATACGATGTGCAATTTTATACGTAAGATTTTTCACAATCATGGCAATTAAAGCTCCATTTGTATTATAATAATTACAAGTCCATATACAGCTGTTTCAATTATAGAAAGTTAATTAAATAATAATGTTAGCAAAGATACTTTGAGTTAATACACAGTCGAATTACAACATTCTTCCCGACTTGGCTTCGAAAGTAAGCCGACACTGAAATTCTTGATTAATTGATTGACTCTACATTGAAATCCTGCGGCTCCACGCCGTTATTTCAGATCTTAACATATCTCGTCTCGCGCATCGTATACCAAATCGGTCGTTTTGATCGCAATCACGAGCGCAGCTTATAAATTCAGTTAGCAGTCGGTCGGTCCAATGTTGTTTGTGGCACGCAATCGAGAGGAGAGCTCAAGGATTCAAGACGCTGAAGATGAAGGTAATTTCTCCGGACGGTTCTTTAGTTTGCGTGCCTGGAACCGAACACCTGCGACCTCGTATCGTCCAATCTTGGCCAGTGTCCCGGTATAAAGCCGACCAATCGCAACTTATCCATCCCGTTTGAGAACGCGGCTCTTCAGGTTCCGCCGGGCGCGCGGCAACTATCGGGCATTTATCTCTTCTTTTCGCGGGAGTGTCACATCGAATATGCATATTTTACGTTGCAAAAGATTGAGCGGCGAGACGAATGAGATTTTGTAATAATCAGCGGATTAAAATATTCAAAAATCCCAAGAATAACCTTTCTTTATTTTGCAGAATTCTTTACGATACTATATTGAAAATTAATGTTCAAAAAAATTTTCAAGTATTTTAAGAAGAAAGAAATACTATTATTCTTAACTTTTAATGAATAATTTATTTATTTAATTTTGTCGTTTTATTTTATTTTTTCACATGAATTGATAATTATATAACATCAAAGTTCTCACATTAAGCAAATCTAAAGATAGAGCGCAAAACTGAAAGTTTTTGTCGTGAATGCATCGCATAAATTTTGCATAAGCTTTCCTCTCGACTGTGAAGTCACGCGTGCTCGTAACATATTAATATATTACAAAAACTTACAACGTTCAGACTCGCATCAATCATTGCATAGTTATCATCAATGCCGATGAAAAACCATGGTCCTTCACATTTAGCTTCCCGCACGATCTGATGGGCGACGTGTTACAAAATAACACCAGGTTTATGCGTTGCGCCGATACATCGTAGCGGCAATAAAGTGTGCGCGCGTGACCGGAAAGCCGCTATGCCGCACCGTAATCTTGCAAACGGTAAGTTGCGAAACGGGCGTAATCGCGCGTTCCCGCGCGCATATCTCCGTTCGCGCTTATTTATCAACAATTCCACGTTAATTCGGGAATTTATGCGGCACTGACCGGCGCACAAGCCCGATTCTCAAGATTCCCTTCAAGTTTACGCGACCACGCGTTAACAGACCGGTTTCATCGTCCCCTTTTAGTTTGTCTCGCTGATATATGCCTCTTTTTATGACCGAAGAAAACTTGATCTTTGACGCAAAGAGAATATATGAGGAGAGCCTTCGCTATCACAGCGCACATCGACAGCTAAAAAAGGAAAATGAAAATCATGAAAATTGAGGACACAGTAAAATTAAAGTCGATATTCATATTACGCAGTTACCCATAAATTTAAAAAATTTAATCGAATGAGATACTTATAAATAGAGATACTTAAATCAATCTTTAGTTAATTTTCTTTCGTTCGGATATCTATGTTGTACATGTAAAAATATCCCACGTCAATTTTGATGTTTTGACGGCTACAAATAAATGCAGAAATTAGTTTTGCGTCTATAGCGTGAAAATAATTGAATTCATTCACACAAGTGAATTAACACTCTCAGAGTTATCTCGGATATAAGACTCCGCTATCTTTGAGCGCACTTTGAATAGGGGAGGATTATGTTACGCGCGCGACGATACGATGTACAACGTAATTTCTTAGTGGCCAGGGCTAAAACTTGATCAGAGCTAAAAACAAGAATACGACGAGACTCGCACACGTATACACATGGCACACACACACACACACACACACACATGTACTCCGAGAATCGTGGCGTCTCCTCTTCACTTGTTGCGCCTTACGCGAACACTAGGAAGTCATTTCATTCGCGGCGACGTTCCGCGAGCGCGAATTAATTGTCGACGTTAAATTGTATCGTTCTTAAACCGTCGCTATCGCGGAAGCCTGAGACGGTTCATTAAGACAACTCGTAAAACGTCACTCTAATTTTCTACGCCAAAGATTAGATAGCTCTAGTGCTCATTGACGATAGCTAATTACTTTAGCGATATCTATCTCGGCTATTGAACCTGTAATACTGGGAAAAGCATTTTGCTTTGCTAACATACATTTATCAGCATGATTTTTTAACACGCATATATATATATATATATATATATATATATATATGTGATAATTATTTTCTTTTAAAATACAATATTCGCTTTATAAATATAAAAAGTATAATTGAATCATATGAAAAAATCGCTCTATCGTATAGTGCAAAATTTAAATTTTATCTGCAAAATATTAACTTTATATTTTATTCAGATGAAATAATTACATCTTTATATATATTATTTTATTTCCATTATTATAGTTATATCTTTTATTTCAAATGTTTACGCAAATATTTATAAATTTTGCAAAATTCTCGCTGCGGATCGAAGGAACGTAGCTAATGATTTCCATCCCGAGACACGATCTCATTATTTTCATTATGGCGTGAGCCGCGTAAGGCTTGGTGCGATACGTCCATATACGTAATATGCTCGCCGTGCGTCGTCAACGAGGATCACCACGGTCCATAAAGATTTTTATGGCGACATCCCGTGTGCGGTATCAAGCGGTCGGTTTGCTTGCCGGCCCTGACCGCAACTCCTCGTTCCGCGCGGTAATACGACCGAAGGTCGCCGACACTCGTAAAATTCGATGAACACCGTTGCAGCGTTGAGAGGACGCAGGGAAGATAATAACGTCGTCCGATATATGCCTTGTATGCGCAATTATGCAGCTCGATTAATTAACACTACATCGAGTTATTATGCGGCTTGACAGAGCGATTAAGACCGACGTATTAAATACATGACGGACACGTAGCTGGTTTCTGCGCGACTAAAAATCTGCAACGATAACGCGTGTATGTCAAAGATGTAATTATAGAGATATCATGAGCAAATTAATGTATCGGTTAAGATAGTATCGTTATAGAAAATAGAATTACTCGAGGCAGTCCGGAAAAGAATCTTCGTAATTATTAGAGTTGGAACGAGAAATTAGGATAAGCTATAACATCAACAAATAATACCTAATTATGCAAGGTCTCGTCCGGATGGATATAATTGTAGTAGCGTTCCGCTGCGCTATCCTCAACAGGTTTTGAAGACAAATTCAAAAAGGGCGCCACCTGCCTGCACTCAGGCTGCGCCCCGTTGTCTTGACGATCATCATTGTTTTCCTGTTGTGCGATTCCTCAACTCGTACTTTTTTCTTAGTTCTCAATAGTGTGATTTCTTGCTTTTTCAGAGATGGGAAAGACGTCTCACAGATCCAGAAAGAGAAGGAGCTCACCGTCTGCAGATAAGATTGCGGGTTTGGAGGAAAAAATGTCACGCCTAATTGACATCCTCTCACAAAGTGAGGTTAGGGCACCCCGTCGCCCCTCCCCGCAACAATCTATTGTCTCTGCGTCCCCGCAGATGATTCAAGGGTCACGCATTCTTTCGAGATCTAACTCGGATATCAGTCTCGAGGCACCCCTGGTGCCAGCGGACCCATCAGGTGTGTATGAATACTGCTGGATCTGTATTTGCGAAATACAGGCGGCATGACGACACAACCTGCGTTCCTAGACAGTCTCATCAACTTCGTACGTCTATTGCAGTGGTAAGTGATGCAGGTGAGGAGGAGTTACCCCCCGCAGGCCCTGAGCATGGTTTGCTTCAGCCTAGCTCACTCCCGGATATCTCTGTCTCCGGCGAGGTCACCGCCGACTCTCTGGCCAAACAATTGTTTGGAGAGCGAGACATTGAGAAAGTTTCTGTCTGGAACGAGATGGTAACCCAGACGTGGCAGGATCTCGCGCGTTCTGGCCTAGTCACGGATCAACGTGAACTACTTTTTAAAAAATACTCTCCCCCAGAAACAGCGGCGTTTCTCAAAGCCCCCGCATTAAATCAAGAATGCAGTGTGGCTCTCAAAGGGAATTCTGTTATCAAGAGGGATGATTTTGCCCGCAAAAATCAAGAACAGCTTGGCAGAGCCCTTTGCGCCCTTGGCGAGGCTATTTCAGATTTTCTCTGCCCGACCAATCAATCATCTCTCACCCCGGAGGTCCGTTCAGCAGTGGCTAAAGTTAACGATGGTGCCAAAATCCTGGCTGACCTTTTCCATCGATTGTCTAAATCTAGACGGGCACAAATCATGCCCGCACTTAACCTCGCAGCCAAGGACACGGCGAATGCTATCCCTTCGGATGAACTCCTCTTCGGAACCTCCTTCGGAGATCAAATAAAGAAGGTTGCAGCAATGCAGAAATCATCTAAGGAAATCATCAGAGCCCCGTTGCAGATATCCAGACGGCTTCAGCAGCCGATCTCTCAGCCAGTACGTGCAGCGCCGTCTAGTTCGGGAAATGCCCGAGCCCCTGTGCCTCGCTCGAGGACGGCATCCAGGAGGCCAGGGGCGAGCACAAATCGCCGTCCGTACTATCCCAGGTCTCATTCGAGGTCGAGGAGACACTAGTCAACGCTGAGGTAATTGTGGGCGGCAGATTGGCCCGTTTTCGATCCCAATGGGAAACAATTACTTCGAATTCAAGGATTTTACAAGCCATTTCGGGGTATAGGCTACCCTTCATCCAGCAACCACCCTCTCAGACTAGAGAACCTTCTGTTCTCTTAACCTACCTCGAGGAGCAGCGCTGTTCCCAGGAGATTGCCAGACTTTTAACTAAGGGAGCAATAGAGCCGACTGTGGACTGCGAGGGTCAATATTTGTCCTCTTTTTTCCTAATTGAAAAACCCTCTGGAGGTTACAGATTTATACTCAACCTGAAGGGCTTCAATCGGTTTATTCATGCACCGCATTTCAAGATGGAGGACTGGAAGACTGTAATTCGCCTCATTTCTCCAGGTGATTATCTTGCCTCCATTGATCTGGAGGACGCGTACCTCCTCGTTCCGGTACACCAGAACGATAGGAAATTCCTTCGCTTTCGTTTTCTTGGTCAACTCTACCAATTTCGTGTCCTACCCTTTGGCCTGGCGTCGGCTCCTTACATCTTTACTAAAATTTTAAGGCCAGTCGCATATTTCCTCAGGGTTAAGGGCTTCTCTTCGGTGATCTATCTGGACGATTTTCTCCTCATAGCACCATCGTATAATCAATGCCGAAAGAATATCAGAGCAACTAGGCAGTTACTGTTATCTTTAGGTTTTCTCATAAACGTACGCAAGAGCGTTTTCAGCCCAACAAGATCTTGTCGCTTCCTTGGATTTCTTTTTGATACAACATCTTTTACAGTCTCCATCCCCCCTGACAGAAGGGAAAAATTATTCCAGAGGACCTGGGATATTCTTACCAGGGACAGTTGTAAAATTCGCTATTTAGCCAGTTTTATAGGCTCTTTGATTTCAGTTTGCCCAGCCGTTCAGTACGGCATGCTACACACAAAAATTTTAGAAAGGGTGAAATTTTTGGCCCTTACGTCCGCAGGAGGCGACTTCGAGGCCCAAATGTCTCTTCCTTCATTGATCAGGGAGGATCTCCACTGGTGGAAGAACATTTTTGCGGACAAATCTCAAGAGAATCCCATCAGATCAGGTCTCTTCACCCTTGAGATCTTCTCTGACGCCTCCCTCACAGGATGGGGTGCTGTATGTAGCAGGGGACGTTCGCATGGATTTTGGTCACCAGAAGAGAAGCAGTTCCATATTAATTATCTGGAACTTCTAGCCGTTTTCCACGCTCTTCGGTGTTTTGCGGCGCAGCTTTCAAACTCCAGCATTCTTCTCAGAGTAGATAACTCTACAGCTTTGTCTTACATCAATCGCATGGGCTCCATAAGATTTCCACTTTTATCCAGTTTAGCTAGGGAAATTTGGACTTGGTGTGCAGACCGGAATATCTTTATCTATGCTGCTTACATTCCTTCAGCCCAAAATTGCGAGGCAGATGCCGAGTCTAGGGTAATCTCCGAGGGGACTGAATGGACTTTAGAAAATCGATTTTTTACTATAATCAATCGTCGTTTCGGGCAGTTCGATATCGACTTATTTGCATCATCTATCAATAACAAATGCTCTAGATTTGTCTCTTGGCTTCCAGATCCTCTCGCAGAGGCAGTTGACGCCTTTTCGTTACACTGGGGTGATTTTTATTTCTATGCATTTCCCCCTTTTATCTTGATTTTAAAGGTTCTACGCAAAATTATCTCCGACGAAGCTGAGGGGGTGATTGTCGTGCCGTGGTGGCCAGCCCAACCATGGTTCCCTTTATTTAATCGCATTAGGGTCAGTCGTCCTATCTGCTTCAAACCCAACATTAATATGTTGTCATCTCCTTTCAGGCAATTTCACCCAGCCTGGGACAGGATTACCCTGGTTGCCGCGAAGCTATCCGGCAGGCCTTTGCCTACAGAGGAACCCCATCCCAGGCAATAGCTACAATGCTTGCTTCTCTTTCCGAGGCTACTATAGCCCAATATGCAAAGCCTATCAAGCTTTGGTGGAATTTCTGCAAAGAAAAGGACATTATCTGTTTCACTCCGTCAGTACCGGTCTTCTTGGATTTTTTATCATCCCAGCTTTTAGGGGTAGGATCCTACGCCACCCTAAACTCATACCGTTCAGCTATATCGCTGATTTCGACGAATGAGGTAGGCTCTCACCCTCTCGTTAAGAGATTCTTTCGAGGAGTTGCGGCCTTGAAACCTCAACGCCCTCGCTACGACTACGTCTGGGATCCAGCTCCAGTTCTTAACTATCTGGCCTCTCTATATCCCCACGAAAGCCTTTCTCTAGAATGTTTATCTAGAAAGCTCATCACACTTCTTGCTCTCACTACCGCGGCAGAGGATGCAGACGCTTGCAGCCATCCAGATCTCTAATATTCATTTCGCAGACTCCTTAATCATTAAAATCCCTTCGCGTTTAAAGACCTCGGGAATCGGCAGATCTCAGCCTTTGCTCTCATTTAGGCCCTTCCAAAGTAGGCCAGAGCTCTGTATTTTTTCTCTGTTGAAGTTTTATCTGCAATTCACATCCGCCTTGCGCAGTGAAAGCTGTACAGCTCTTTTCATTTCTCTTCGGACCCCGCATAGGCCTGTGACAGCTCAGACATTAGCTCGCTGGGTTAAGGAGTTGCTAGGCTCAGCCGGAATTGATACTAGTATCTTTTCCGCACACTCTACTCGTCACGCTTCAACTTCCCTCGCCGCTAGTAGAGGTGTTAGTGTGGACGAGATCAGGCGTATCGGCTGGCTGGAGCAGTTCCTCGGACATCTTTGCTCGCTTTTATAATCGCCCGCTTCTTAAGGGCGCTTCGTTTCAGGACACAGTCTTGAGTAGTACTTAAGGTCTTTTAAATTTTACGGCATATGCATTTTTTATTTGTGAAACATCTATACTTGTACGCAACCTTTGCATTTATTCTTACTTATATATGGTCAGTTTAATCCAAATAAACAATGTTTTATTTTGCATCGTACGGAATCTACAACAAATCTGTGCTTTGAATATCTACAATTATATCCATCCGGACGAGACCTTGCATAATTTAATAATCGAACGAGCTTACCGTGAAGTTCGATTGTAATTATGCTGTCTCGTCCGGATGGAGAATCCCTCCCCCCCTTTTTTCTTTTTGTTCTATCCCATTTTCTCCAGATTTGTTGACTTTGAACTAATGATGATCGTCAAGACAACGGGGCGCAGCCTGAGTGCAGGCAGGTGGCGCCCTTTTGAATTTGTCTTCAAAACCTGTTGAGGATAGCGCAGCGGAACGCTACTACAATTATATCCATCCGGACGAGACAGCATAATTACAATCGAACTTCACGGTAAGCTCGTTCGATTATTAAATTATGATTAGTAATTACAGTAATTATTTTGCTAAAGTACAGTACAAATTTTATAAGTGCAGATTTTAGATTAATAAAAAATTTATAAATTTGTATTTTTAACATTAATATATTAATTAAGCAGGACTGCTTATTGAATCATTATTCTAGTAAAAATATCGCAGTAGTGTTACGGCAACTTATACACGTCCTATCATAAAAAGAGAGGATTTCTTATATATTAAAGAAATATTACGCCATTGAGGAACAAGCGAGTAATGAATTACACCGAAAGTTGTCTAATAAGTCTAGCTTATTCGTGCATAATCGTGCAATTAGTTTGATTGCCCGGAGGTAAAGTTTTTTAATAAAGTAGTCGCTCGCCAAGTTTTGCAAGGCAAATACGTTACGGAAACGCGCCTGCGTCGTGCGAGTTAGTTACGTAAGAAGATCTCGCACCATAAAGATTTTTACGGATGCATCTTACGTGTTTCGCTACAGTTCCCCGATGCTCGTTTGGTTGGCGACCCTGACCGCAACTTACGTGATAATACGCTCCAGCGTCGCGAAAGATCATAAACTCCGATTAACATCGTAGAACATTAAATCGGAGCAAAAGAAGACAACACGGGGTGAAATAAAGTCAGAGGTACGTGGATCGTGCGATAGGATAATTTGTGCTTTATCGTTCAACTTTATTAAGTAAGCAAGCTTTGAATATAAGACGCCCGCATAAGTCGTTTAATAGGACGAGTTCCCGCTAACAAATATAATCGGTGATCGCAAAAATTACTTTAAGATGATAGCAATCGATACCTCGACATGTTCTCCAAAAGTGTTACTTGTAATTGCGAGATTAAATTTTTCAAAAATACAGCTGAGACTTGACAATATTTTAAAGCAATAATTTTTCTCCGCAAAATTTTATTTTGTTAATCCTCAAGTCTTGCAGAATCATCTCCCGGTTTGTAATTTTATCATTCTATACGTGGAACATTTCCCCTTAAACCCACTACTGTAATCCGGTGCGAACTGCCGCACATAGAGTAACAATGCGGGATACGTAAACTTTCGCGCGTAATAGTCGAATTTGCACATAAATCGACGGTGGACGTACGTCATGCTCGCGGACGCCGCGCGATTTATCCCGCTTACGGGCAATTATTTACGCGCTTACACGAGGCGACGCGGCGCGAGCTTTCCGGACAGAAATTAATTTCGCGATAAAAATCTGCGCGACTCGTAAAAATTTTTACGGATTATTCTTGTGGCGGCCGTCCGTTTGTCTGTTCCGCAACGGTGTGTCCTCCGCTATAATACGACTGCAAACCGCGAGCGATCGTAAAGGTCGATATACACCGTCAGAGCTTAACAAACAGAGAGGAAGAAACCAGAAGTCTTAAGAAAGGAAAATAAATGGACACGTGGCAAAAGAAGAAAAAGAGAGAAGATGATAGTCAATATCAGGAGACATTTACGCCTAATTATTCAATTTAATTAACTACCGGTATTAAACACCTTGGCTTTTACGGCCGGCGATGAGCGCATAGCAGCTGGGAATGCTTCTCGCGCGATCAAAGATCAGCTGTGGTTGCAACTTCCGCTTTTATGGCGAAACTTTGGCTTTCGTTGGAACCATCGTAGTGCGGCGCGTCCACCTGACTCTGTCTCGTCATGCACAAAGTTTACGGGATACTTTCAAAAAGGTTGCATAGAACTGCAGATTTGATAGTTCCGACAAATTTAATTTCGACTCTATGCATTCGCATAGATTTCAATTGGACAACAGAACATAAATGTGAATTTTAATTATGATAATAAGAAATGTTAAAAGTGCAAAAATAGCGAAAAAGATTTTTGAATTAAATTTTTATGGAGAAAAAAGAACTGTCGATTTATTGGAGGATACGATTTTAAAATAGATAAATTTTATGAAACATTTACACTCCCTTTTTCGGTATAATGAAAGACAAGATTGTACAATTGCACAAACAATAGAATATTCACACGATCAAAACTTTAAGCAAACTACCGCGCATAAGCATTGTGTAATGTTAGAATTTGGAATTGTGTTTGGAAATGTAGTTTGGGAATGTGCAATCTCTTGAAGCTTCTACTAAATATAAATTAAAGAGTTATGTAAATTGTTGTGAATTTAATGTCTTGTAATAATGACTTCCGAGTACACTGAAAGACGCAATTGCATTACACAGCAGTAAATTAAGAACTTATAAAATAATTGCAGAAATAACGTAGTAAGTTATTTCATCAAATTTTATATTATAATTAAAGCTAAATATAACTCTAAAAGATACTTATTTATTTTTCTCGTCATTTAGAATTGTTGTATGCGGAGAATTTATGTGCATCTTAAAAAGATAATGGCAGACACTTGTTAATAATTGATAGCATGCAGTTTTATTCAAACTGTCGAAGGACATCGTGCAACGCAATGCGAATAAATAAACGTCTCGGATTCGTGTAATAATCGATGTAACACAATGCCGTTAACGCGAATATGTCAAGCGTCGGATCGTGTTATTAAAAATGCGCGAACATTACGGGCCTCGTTAACGCGTGAAAAAGAAGAAGTGTATCGTGTGTCGTTGTTCGCGGCGCGATTGTTTTCGCGTCCTTTTCGCCGTCGAGCAGTTCTGAAATTTTTTATGTTGTGCGCGCGCGTAAATCCCGGCGAATTTAATACTCGTCTTAACGTCCGCGAGCGGTATGCAGATTTACGACGGCAATTTATTACACATTTTAAAGCCGATAACGCGGAAAATGCGCGGGAGGGGAGGGCACTTTCGAAGGAAGGTGAGCTCGCTCCCCCACAGCGAGCAAATCGCGAAAGATCGAAAGCGGATTATCGCGTTAGATCCTGCTATCTCAATCCGCACGCGAAGATGTTCGATCGATCGGCGGGGAAATCGCGTCTCCGATGATTGGTGTGCCAACGGGAAAAAAAAAAGAAGCACGACGTATAAAGCGGAAAGAGAAATTCGCGGACGATATCGCGGAATCGACGATTCAAAATCCCGTAACGGGCGATGAGGTGAGATGGCGACAGAGAGAGAAAGAGAGAGAGGGGAAGGGGGGGGGCGAAGTCGCGTATTAAAATCGGCATAAAACGTTATTATCCGGCTGCGTAATTCCGCGGTACCTGATGGTAAGCCCCGGCGAGAGAAGCGGCGGCGGCGGCGGCGGACTCACAGTCGCCGGCATGGAAACTTCAAGTGAGAGGGCGGATTCCGCACCGGAGTTTGAGATAATGCACTACCCCACCCCCCTCACTTCCTTTCCTCTCGACTGGCCTCGGCGATTTGCCCCGCGCTCGCCTCCTCCGTCGCCGTGTTCCCTGTCCCGTGCCACCTAGGACCCAAGAGCGAAGAATTCGATATCAAATTCTTTTAAGGAGAACCCGCACATCGGGCAAGGGCCGGAGGACGCGGCGAGGAGAGTAAGAAGATATTGCTGCATTCCTACGGTACATAATGAGCAGTGAAATTTCGAGAAGATCACCGTCAGCGGTCCCGCCATTGGCCGCAGGAATTATATATCCCTCGAAAAGCCAACGTTGGCGTCAAGAGAATTCAGATTTTAGAAGTAGTCGGAGGAATATTTCACGTCGATCAAAGGCAAGGGATGCATTGACAATGTGATAAAAATTTCTCATGTCGCAGCCTTCATAATTTACACCGCATGTTGCAAAGATCTCTCGTGCTTTCACGCGAGCAGAAATAAAATGCAAGAGCCGGAAACATCTAGTGACGACGAGAGATAAGAGATTTTTACGTCACTCGTAACGGCGCCTTAACTCTCGGCGTTTACAAGTGCAGAAGAGCGACGAAAGATGACTCCTAACATCGTTGTTCGCGAGGAACGGATGAATTGTCGATTCTCGACGAATGTAAAGTCGAATGGCCGAGTCGTTTATGGACGCGGCATAAACAGTTAAATATCGAGGCGATGAGACCATGTAATAAAAATGCTACGTTGATCCGGAGAGATAAAAGCGAACGTGGACAAGAGACAACGGCGACCAGAAGAGC